TCCTTCGGTTGGTTGTTGCATAGATCCTTCGGTTGGTTGTTGCATAGATCCTTCGGTTGGTTGTTGCATAGATCCTTGAGTTGGTTGCCCTTGAATCGGTTGTTGAGGTTGAATTCCCATCATAAATGGCATCGGCTGAAATTCATCACAGCCACCAAACCTGTGAAAATATTCAAAAGGGCACCTATTACATCCGCCGTGGTAAAAAAAAGACTCTCCACAAGGCATTGAATCAAACGGCTGCATCATAGTCTGTGACATCATCATATCTTGCTGTGGCATCATATCTTGCTGTGGCGTCATCATATCTTGCTGTGGCGTCATCGTATATTGCTGTGGCGTCATCGTATCTTGCTGTGGCGTCATCGTATCTTGCTGTGGTGTCATCATATCTTGCTGTGGTGTCATCATATCTTGCTGTGGTGTCATCATATTTTGTCGTGAACTAAGTGAAGACTGTTCAGTTTTTTCATTTTGACCACCTTGTGGTAAAGCTTGTGTTATAGTAATAACTAAGGAAACAAGGAAAACGAGGTAAGTTAAATCGATTTTCATTATGTAGAGTAAAATCGTTGGATATTTTGATTCAACCGTTCTTGATATTTACAAACATATGTAAATTCGAACACTTTATATTAAAATATTTACGCATAAATGCGTTTTCATTATTATATTCGCAAACAAATATATTTAACATAATCATTTTATTACATCAATTTCTCGAAATTTTATCAATTAATTGTATATATCATGATAAAAAAATAGCGTGTATTATTATTGTAAATTAAATCAATTTTATCGTTATACATCACATACTTACAATTAATTGAAAATTTTCACGGTTACTGAAAATATTTATGTAATTGTGCTCGGACTCAATTCGTTGGGACATGTTTATATAATTTGTTAATTTAAAACCAAACCAAAACTTGTATTTAAAAAAAAAACAATAAATAAAATTTTAATGCTTACTTTTAAATAAATCGCATTGAAAGGTTATAATTATATTTTTAGCTTTGACAGTAGAACATATAACTTTTTTTTAAAAGTGGGGCAAAACACTGTTCTTTGATCCGCACATTTTTGATCAATATTTTATAGAATTTGATAAACTATGCAATATCGATATGTTTTATACATATTAAACTTATTAGATATTGTTTTTGTTAGCTAAAACTTTTCATACTAAATGATTTAGACATGTGATATTTATCTTTTTACCGCGATTATTAAAATAAATGTTTAAATAGATTATGATACGTAGTAATTTTTTTTGACTTAATATAAATCTGGGTTCGTAATTACGACTTGTATTAATAGTATAAATTTGAAATTTGACATAATTAATCTTAAATATTTTATATCTATATACTGTATAAATCATCTTAACAATCGATAAGAATCAAATAACGAGATAAGAATCTAATAAATTATGATTTGCACATCCCAATATTACATGAGTCAAATAGATCCTATTCTTCTTTGCTTATGCTAACAAAATATGACCGGTAAGCCTCTCAATTGAGAATAATATAATAATCTTCGATAAGTTTCAGGCCCTCCTTTACTCCTATGCAAAAACTCGATAAGTTTTGTTGGTAACATATTTTCGGACCACTTCATCTAGCATAGAAGCGGATTTTTTTTATTTGTTGTAGAAGCTGAATTTGGGTGCTTTTCGGTAAATAGCGATAGCGAGAGGTATTGTGGCGCACTAATGTTTTTTGATATCTTGCAATACATTAATCAGAACCGAACAATTTTGATTCATCTTATTGAGACGAGTCGAATCAGTGTTGTACATTTTTAACGTCCAAGGCCCTTTTTGCAATGTCCAATGTCCAAGTCCAAAAATGTCCAAGCACATTTACACTTATACAAATTTATTTTTTTATTTTTTAACTTTAGCAATCCTGCCCTTTATTATTTGATAAGAGTGAAGTATAACACAAGTGACCAGCCAGAAAGCTTACAACGACTTTAAGATCTTTACCCTCCAATTACACAATAAGGTCTTACTTGGCTGCCTACTTTATTGGTGCCCAAATGCAATCTGCTACAGCAATATATTCTCTTATCTCTGGTGCCTAACTTACTAGGTGTTACCCATCAAATTACTGAAAGCTTATTGCTAGCTTGTTAGAATTGCCTTTCTTTTCTTAATTTTTCCTTCTTTACAAAGGGCTCAAAGAGAAAAAGAGAGAAATATATAAAAACCAAACAAGATGAATACAACCAAAAAGAAAAAAAAAAAACAAAAAAACAAAAAAAAAAAGAAAAAAAGAAAATAAAAAGATACAGACATAAGAAAGAAAAAGAAAACAAAAGGAAGACTAATTGCATTATTATAATCTGTGTAAGCAGTGTTGGTCCCTGGACTGGACCAGTCTAATAAACCACTACTGGACTGAACTGGTCCAGTCCAGTTTCAGTTATACATGTTGGCAAAATTCTAAATTACTATATTTGGGATTTGTCCACGCTCAAATCCCAAATTCATCCCAAATTAATTTCTCAAAAACTTTATTAATAATTTTTGTTTAAACAAATAGTAGATATTTTTATTGCTATAAATAATACATTTACAAAAAATTAATATTTCTTTTTTGATTTAATCATTTACAAATAGCAATTGTTTTTTTTGAATTTGGAACTTGTTCAGGTTTTGCCAGCAAGTATAGTTCCAGTACTTACTAGAACTGGATCTAAATAATAAATATGTATTTTAAAATTTTGAAATAATGCACAGGGATGAAATTACAATTTTCTAGCCCAAATTAAGCTTAATTTGGGCCAAAATTTGAAATAATGCTATTTTAAGATTTTATAGTATATAAATAAAATAAATTATATTTATAAAATTTTAATTATTTGTTATTAGTTAGTATTATAATTTTTGTTATAAGTTGCTGTAAAAAAACTCAGCTATAAAACTTATTTACCACTTCAGTTATTATAGTATATAGTAAGTTAGTTTGTATTAAGAATTTTTATCATGAGTTGCAATTTAAGAATTCTCTTTTCTAGTGGAACATAGTGTATAGTCAAGTTTAAATTAAATTTTGTACTAGAATTATTATGATTTTTGTTATAAGCTACTGTAAAAAATTTTATTAAAGCAATTAATCTATATATATTTACAGATTATATAAAATGATGGCCAATAAAAATTTTTTTAAACAAATTATATAAAATCTAGACTGGGCTGGAACTGAAACTAGTTCTAGTAGAACAGTCCAGTCCAGTCCAGTTCTTAAAACTAGACTTAGAACTGTACCCTACACTATGTACAAGGCTATTAAAAATTATATATCAAATAAAATATTTGTATATCTCTATTGTAAAGCTTTATCTTTATCTATAGATTTATATCTCAAGTTACTAGCTATTATTATTAGAAGTTTCTTGTTTAAAGTCTAGCCAAATTTAGTAGCACTATATCTCAGTACTGAGAAATTAGACAGTTTTGGTTTTTGGACATCTTGTCCAAAACCTGTCCAAAACCTTGTCCAAAACCAAAACCAAATTTAATTGGTTTTGGACAAAATTATATATATATAATTTATTTTTTGATAATGCCACCCATGTAAATTATTTTAAATTTTTAGAATTTTTTTAACTTTGAATTGAAGATATTTTGATACTCACCTAACCAAATTTAATTAATGTTTTTTTTTTTGAATTCTACAGCTTTCTATAATTAAAAGTATTAGTTGATACTGCTCGCCTTCTTTGAAAACATTACTTTTTCCACCAATTACCTATTGAGTAAATCAATATCCAAATAAACCCAGACCCTTTAACCAAACCACCATTACCAAGTCAACTCTCCGAAATCACAGCCTACTTAGAATAGCTAGAATTACATCACACTATTGAGGTCCTTATCACAAAACACAACCGGATTAAAATAACAATCGCAAACCTAAAAGAACACTTCAACTTCCAAGGCACTCTTTCTCACTTACTTAACTTACCCAACTTACCTGATCCCGAATGGGATATCCTTAACAATTACTCCCCATTACCATGAGCAACTCAATGCCTAACCAACAACCACTCATCCCTACTACGAGTGACTCATTCCCCACAATCCTTCTTCTCCCAAACAGATGACATGGAAAACTTTAATTTAAATATTTCCGATCACATTAACATTATCACCCATAATATACAGGGCCTAAACAACAACCTTAAATTTCAGCTCTTCCTTGAACACTGTGTCCAACAGAACTATCACATAGTTTTAATTACCGAAACCAAATTAAAAATCAAAACCTGATCTCAATGACCAACCCTCTATACAAAATTTATACATCCAATCACCAACCCACCCAGGGAACTCCCAAGCAGCGAGTTTGGGCACAGCATTGGCATTATACCCCCAGCTACAGCCATATATCTACAACATACAGACCTACTCTGGCACAGCACTTTGTATAGACTTCTTCTTACTTGCAAACACACAATTAAGAGTGATTTCTATATACCTACTCTCAAACCAATCAACACTCTGTAGAGCCACCACCAATACTATTAATAATTGGCTTTTAGAAGCAAGACGAAAAAAATAGCACGTAATCGTCCTTGGAGACTTTAACGATAATCTGAAAAGGAGGAGAACCCAATACTCAATCTTTAATGTCCTTGAAGCAAACTCTCTCGCAAGCCTCCTTGACTTCCACTTTATCACCACACCCACCTGGAGCAGACAAAACCTACAAAATCAGATAGATGACATCTGGACAAATTCAAAGCAATTACTTCAATTCGAAACTCCCAGCATTATTGATGCTACTGGCATAATCGACAGTGACTATGCAATTATCATGATAACATGGTGGTCCAGACTGGACATTTCCAAATGCCGAACAAAAAAAAAAAAAAAAGAAAGTTCTTCCTCTATAAGCAAATAATGCAGGATACTTGGAAAACTTTCACCAAACTCACCAAAGTAAAAGCTAAAAAAATTCTTTTCCCAGGCCCTACAAAGACCTAACTACGCTTAATAAACAATGAAACTCTCTCACTTGAATTATTTTGCAGTCTGCAACAGAAATGATACCCATCTTATATAAGGCTCCCTGTGTCTTTCACACCTACTCACTACAATCTACTAAACTACACTCAGCACTTAAACTGGTTAACAGTTCCATTCACAGCTATAAAAATTCACACCCCCCTATATCCTTAGCTTTCCTATATCAAACAGTTAATACACATTTGGCCAAAGCCTCTCATCTCCTCCCTCAACCCATATCTTCACTACTCTCCCAACAAGACCTTACCTTAGCTCTCCGCCACCTCAAAGACTATCTTTATTGCCCGAAAAATCGAAGCCTCAATGGCCTAAAGAGACTCTATTCAATTCTATGTTAACAGAAGATATGATAACTTCCAAAGTGATACTACCAAAATGATAGACAGTATTTTTCAATGGTATAATGACAGAATAGATTTCGACAAAATCATCACACCCAACCAAGTTATTACTGAACCCTCTCAAATAAAACAAGCAATATGCAACTACTTCCACAACTGGACCAAAGCCAATTCTCCCAACACGGCCTTCACAAATGACTGGGCTCAAGATTATCAACCCCTTCCTTCAATAGCTTCAAAAAGCTATATCTCGCTTTTGCAACTCATCTCACTACAAGAAATAGAGGATGCTATAGCTAATGCATCTCGAAAAAAAACCCCAGGCCCCTTCGGCATTCTAAATGAAATACTTTAACACCTTCATACACATAGCAAAACTGTACTTCTATCCATTTTCAACGCTTGTCTACATCTTCAAGATATCCCTACATCTTGGAAACAGGCCAATGTGTAGCTCATTCCTAAAAAAACAACTTATAATCACGATCTCAATACTACCTGTCCAATTACCCTGATAGAACATACTCGCAAAATACTTACCAAAATTTTTACACTACGTGTCTGTTCTATACTAACAAAAAACACCATCCTTTCTCCTCATAACAATGTTGCTCTGCCACACATATCCACCCTTAATCCTATTCTTACCGTTTCATATATAATCGAAGACAGTTATATAAATAACAAACCCTACTGAATTTTAGCCCAAAACATGTCTAAGGCATATGATACCGTTTATATACCCCTTCTGGCATTTGCTCTCAAACAAATAAAGATCCTCTAGGCTTCAATCAACCTCATCATATCCATCTTCTCTCAATGTCATAACCGAGTCATTACTGACCACGGACTTACTTTATCATATCCCGTCGAGGATGAGATTGATCAAGAGGAAACCATTTCACCTATCTTATGGCGTATTTACTATGACTCTCTCATTGCAAAGGTCAGCAGACTCATACCAGGCTATACTCTTTAGGCAAACTCCCCCAAAGGTGTCGCAACATTTAGTTCCTCTGTAATAGCTTATATGGACGATACCATCTGGATTGCCTCTAGCAAACCTCAGCTTCAGCAAATTCTCGACATTATCTGTTTCTTTCTTTCATATGCTAATATCAAGATCAATCTCTCCAAATTAGTACTTATTACTAACGACAAAAATCCAGACCCTCACATAAATTTTTTTAGAAGCACTATCAACAACATTCAACCTAAAGCCTTATTTAAACACCTGGGAACTTGGTTCTCATGCAACCTATCGCTCTGACCCATACAAGCACACATATTAAAAGAAATATATCACAGCATTAATAAACTTAGATACTCACAGATTACACCCAAACAGGCAGTCTATATAATCAACAATGTTATTCTCACACAAGCAGCTTACCGACTCCAAAATTCCTACCTCAGCCCTACGCAGCTAAAAAACATTACCAACTCATATATCAGCTTGGTAAAGCAAAAGGTGCTTCTCGCCCGATCTATATCCAATTCTACTACCTAGACATTTATGCTCTAAAAAACTTAACACATATCCAACAACAACAGCATATCCAAACACTTGACCGAACTCTTAACTCTCTTGACTTTGATATATTCTCACTAAAAGTCAGATTACAACAGCTGCAAAATGCTGCATATACAAACCTCTCAATCCTGGATGACCCCCACTTTTCCCTACAAAGAACACAAAACCCATACAGCTCAAGCAATCTTATCCCTCCATGGCCTCAATATTAGCCTTACCCACAGTGCAAACAACTGGCCTATTCCCCAAAATGATCCTGGAACCTCCATTAATAGGCTAATTAGCCAACTTAAACGCCCACAATTGATTAAGACCTCCCTCAACAGGCACAACATCGGTTACATCAAACAATTCCTAAACATCCACAACAACCACATCCTAGAGTAGAAGCAAATTCACCATAACATTTCCAAAATCCCACATGGCAGAACACCCTGATGGTTTTATCAAATTCAAAGTTTGATAGTGGACAACGCTAATCCCTCAACTACTCTAGTGCATCCAAACCCATTCATCAACCAGCAAATTCCTTTCGGCAAAAAAACCTGGACTATTACAAATACAAAAACCTTTGGCAAAATATCAAGTTACTAGCAACACCTGGCCATTATACAACACTACATACTTGACTATCATACTCTCATGCTATCCCGATGCCAAAACTGTATACAGAATGACAAATCACTAAACAAAGCCAAATGCATCTTTACATGCCTGATACAACATTTGTACCAAATTCAAGTCAACCATAAAAGAATTATCTATGCACACTTACCAAGTTTTTTCACCAAAACTCACCCCTCAATCAACGAACCCATTTATACCCGCACTATTTTACCCATCATCAACTACAGAATCTCACATCGTTTTTTCCAAATTTTCACTAACAACCAACCACAAGTTTGAACACTTTTTACTGAAACAAACTTCGACCTATCAATTACCATGCACTTATCTCTTAAAAAATTTCAAGCCGGTCTTCCTCCCACCACCTGTGTGCATTTCACCAAGCCAAACATAACTTGGCTAATTATTAATAAATACTGGCACTCCCCTATCTTAGTGGTACTCTCAACAATTGCACTACTTCTCACAGTTAGCCCCCTTATGCCCGAGTTACAATTAATACCAAACTACCATGGCTTTTCCCTCTTCTCTCTGTAAACAACTATGACTACTTTGATGAACACAAAGCTGATTTCAATTGAGTCAAACAAATAATTTTCGCTATCAAGACTGCAAAAGATTTAACAATCCTACCCTCATTTACAAACCAAGAACTCCTAGCAAATAATCCAACCTACCTGGAGATACAAATCGACCTAGATTTAAGCACGGTTCTAAACTCGGCTTTCACACCAAAATTTTACCAGGTTCTTTGTACCTACTCAATCCATAACTTAACCAAAATACTCCACAAAGCTCAAAACAGATCCAACTGGCTTCATCAAAACAGAAATATTACTCTAAATAACCTTCATCCAGAAATCAATTGGCAACTAACCTTTGAATCTATTAATTATAAAAACGAACCTCTACAACAACACAGATCTCAAAAAAGCTAAACTAAAAGCATTCAAAGTGAAATTACTAACTAATGAACTACCTACTTACTTTATTTTGTTTAACAGAAATCCAGTTAAGCACTCCAATTCCTATTGTACAAAATGCCCAGACCAGATCGAAAACATTTCCCACTTACTATCTTGCCGACACTACTCACTATCTCTACGACAACTTACTATCAACTCGATAAAAGAAATTAGCAAAAAACATACACTAACAACCCCTAACCTCGAGCAATTCACACAATTCTTCATTACGCTCTATACCCAACATCAAGTTCCTCTTGAAGTGATCTCCAATGCAAATCTTGGTCCTTTCACTACAAAGAAAATTAATTCAAAAATAGCATCTGAACTATACTATCAAATTATAAAATCAATATATACTGATATTTGGAAAACAAGCAGAATCAATCCTCAATCACCCTTGACTTCTAACTGTTTGGTTCTGGCATTTTTCCCAAACGCTACAAGAAACACACCTTCTGTACCACAATACTACTTGACTTGGTTAAATAATTTCATTGTTTTTAACCAAACCAACCCTAATTTCATAGCTAGAGGTCTTGACCTATCTAGCCAAAAATGGGTCGTAAATAAATTTTTTTAGATAGCTTTAACCTTTCATTCTCCTAAATTTCAATATGTCTTCTTACTTTGTAACATAATCATGTTTTAATAAAGTGAATTGAGAAAAGACCTCTCTTGAAAAAAAAAAAAAAAAAAAAATTTGTATTTAATGCACAATACTGTAAATTGATAGATTCAAAAACTCAATAATTGAGTTTTTGTTTGATTTTGCCAAGCACTACTTTATTTTTATAGAATTTTTTTATAAAAATAAACATTCTTTAAAGATTAAGGTTAGAATACTGGCTATATTAAGTTAATATGCAGCTTATTTATATGCAAAATTAAGTGCTGAAAACTTTTACTTAATAGCTTATAACTAGTTTTTGTAATAAAATTTTGCAATATTATTAATTTTTTAATTTTTTTTAAAATTTTTTTAAAAAATTTCTTTATTTTGTTACACAAGATCCTGCGACATGATTGGTAAATTGTGGGGTGGTTAAATCACCAGGGGGCAAGTTAGCAATATTCTTTTAAAATTAATAAATTATAATATTTGTATTGAAAATTTCTTAATTTACACCTGGTGTATATACACACATACTAATTTATTGATTTACGATTTGTTTAATATATAAATTGTAAACAAGAAATTAGTATAGCTTAAGGTTAGAGTGAGGGTAGCTTTAGGGTTAGATGAGGTTATAGTTTATACTAAAATTTTGCAAGGAATATTTTTTGTTAAAACCCCAAAAGCTATTATATAATCGGGATTTTGAGACATCAATATATGTGTGTACAAATAGCAATCATCTAATAAATATATATATAAAAATAAAAAAAATTAACTACTACAATATAATCTAATTTTTATTATAATTTGCAATATTTATTAGTTTATTGTTAAATAATTTAAATATACTATATATAATTAATTAAAACCTACTAGAGATATATAATCTTAACCTTTTATCACAATATTATTAATAATAAAACAAAATCAAATTTGTTTTTTTTTTAAAAAAAAAAAAAAAAAATTAGAATTTTTTTTTATATATGTTTTTTTAAAATAAAATTGAAAATCTTTTTACAACCTTTACAAAATCGAGAAAAAAAACTCAATACATTCTACTTTATATAACATATATATATATGTATATATATAAAATAAATACTTTAAAAATAGTTACAAAAAGAAAATAGTATTACAAACAATCCCGTAAGCTCTTAAGTCTATATTTCAAACTATGATAACCAAAATTTATAAAATTGCCCTTTGAATAGTTTTCGTTTCGAACGAATCAAATGTTCATTGTGTAATACATAAATTAAAAATAACCAAAGATGGTTTAAATACTGTATGGATAAAAGTGATTAATGTCGTAAAATGTTACATCGGAAATAATGGCATAATGGGTAAGATAGTAATGTAGAAGAGAAGCAGAAAAATATTAGTAATTCTTGATTATGAGAAAGGTATCACGCAATAGTTTGAAATTAACTTTACAGAAGCAAAGGAATTATTTTTTTTCAAAAAGTATTATAGAATTAAAAATAAGGAGTAAGAAAATATAAGTTCAAAACCTTAATCATAAATGAAAATCTTAAGTGATGCCCTTTGACAAACAACAAATATCCAATAACAAAAATTTCGATCAAATACAAAAACAAAACTCACAAAGCCCCCGTTTACTGTTTTTTTTTCATTAATAATAACTTTGTTCTGTTGTGTATGCCATTCTAAAGATATAAGTATATGAGAAATTATGAACATAAGCTTACAGTCTTAATATTCATCGCTTGTTATTCTGTAAGTGCTTCAGTGAATATATTTTTAGCGGCTACAACATATTTATCATTACTTCTAGTGAGTCTTTTAACGCAAGCCAAAGTACTTGGTAAAGTCATAAATAACCAAGCGCTAACAGGCAACCAAGCATAATCCATGTAATTTTTCCACGACCGTGTTTCACTAGTACCTTTCTTAAACAACTCTGCATCTACCGTCTTATGCAATCCTTCGTATAGCATTGCGCACAAGAGTAAAGGCATAGGTAATAATACGCCCACTGCTTGTACTAGAGAAAACATATATGCATAAAATTCTGAAGTAACAATTGGATTTTGGAAGTTTGGATAATAGCTAGATATAGGCGAATACGTGGATATCAGCAGAAATTGTGTTATAGGTACTGCAGCAAACATTAACCAACCAGACGTGCATGGAATCATGTGAGCTTCAAGAACATGGAGTACCACAACTAGCTTATCAAAAAATGAACAGGACATAAGACAAGACGGTCGTTTTCCAGAAGAGGGATTATAAACTGGCATTAAAGATGAACTCAAAAGAAGTGATTCGGTATCAGTGGTAGAATGTTGTTCACTACTAAAAGCAGATTTCAATGAATAAGCAACGTCGGCAACACCATTGTAATGACGCTTAGCCTGGACAAAGCGAGCATAAATATTTGAAAAATAACCGGTAGTTTGAACGTTGGTAAGGTTTATCGGAACAAATATAGGAACAGATCTAGCAACACCACCAGTTTTGAAAAAACATTTAAGCCACATATGTAGATCTTCACCAACAGCATCTTTATCGGTATCCCAGAAACCAACTTGCTCAGCAAGAACCTTAATGAAAAAAGTTGTTACATTTAGACAGCAAAAAAAAAAATAATAAAAAATACAATATTTTGAGAGTTTCTTTACCATGCTTAAACTATACGTAGAACAAGGAAATGCTAATCCTCTGGGATTACTTAAATTTTGCATGACCATAATTGACCACATAATGTCAGTAACACGCACAGCAGCGGGAACATCCAATGCATTTCTTGAAAAGAAAATTGGAGGGGAACAAATGGTATTATAAGGATCTTCGGATTCTGATAATGCTTTTTCAATTTGACGAATATAAAGTTCTGGAATTGCAGAATCTGAATCTGTGATCGTAAATACTACGTGCCGTTTGTCGACCTTTCGTGCCAAAAGTTCACATGCCTCACGAGCTGCATACGCGACGTTGCTACCTTTGCCTCGACTTTCACCAGGGACATCTTTTGGATGAACCGTTATAATAAAGTCACGGAAAGAGCCATCAAAAGTTCTCTTGAGACTTGCAGCTTTTGAAGCTTGGTCGACTTCAGACTCTTCCATTGCCAATATAACAACATAAGTCGTGGTAGCGTTCCTTAAAAATCGGAGATGATTATCGTTAAAAATAATGGTTTAAAAAAATGCGATTAATATAAATTGAATGAATCATAAATCTAAACGCATTCTGATCGTTATACTTAATATTATTTATTTTTTATTTTTATTTTTTTTTTAGTTTGAGATAAAAAAATTTTTCTTAAGATAAAGCTTCTATAAATGTCCCACCTGTGTTGAGCCAATCTCTTGATAGTATCTCTTAATAACGGCTCTGGTTCCTCATAATTTGGAATAACGAAAGCGTGAATATACTGTCCTTCATATTGTTTAAGCGCACTTTCCATCTCGCTGTATTTGTTATCATCATCAGTCATAGATACAGATACAGACGTATAACCGTTCCTTGTTGGAGTTATCCTTCCATTATTGGTAGCAGTACTTTTAACCACTTCCTTAGAATCATAATCTCGTGATGAAGATTGCTGCTCTTGTTTTGCATTCCAATCTCGAATGTTCTTTTTGATGTTTCGTACAGTTAAACAAAATTTTAGAAAATGGTTTACAGAAATATATAAAAAAGTTGTGAAGTAAGCCAACAAAAACCAAATATAAACACGTGGAAAGAATATGGGACCTATAAGAAGAACAAAAACAGCACCGATAGCAGTGGTAGGAGCAACTAGCTCGAAAATGTAATGATGTATTCCCATTACTGTGAAGTGTATTATTATATAAAGGATATTCGTCTATGTGGCTTTTTTTTTCTTTTTTTTTTGAAAGAATTTTGAATAATTAAATATTAATGTCAAAAAAAGGGTGATAAACTCCCGAAAAATTATACCGTTAAACCGTTAAGAATTAATATTAACGCGAGATTACAAACTGCAATACATATAAACTATATGCGAACAAAATATCCAGCGTAAGAACATCAGCAAAGTTATTTGAAGCCGCAAAGATAGTAGACCGAAGATACGTCATATAAAGTTAAAGCAGTCTGAAAAAAAGATAAAGGATAATTAACACGATTTATTTTTTAAAGATTTTAAATCAAAGAAAATTTTTTTTAAAAAAAAAATATTGGACGGGATGAGTAAACCCACCACTTTTCTTGTTTTTTTTTATTCCGTTATTCCTTATGATAAAAAACATAAAATTTTTTAGACTGCAGAACCAAAATGAACCATGGAAATGCCAACAGAGAGGTTTTTCAGAGCACCAGGAATATTGGACACTTTGACGTTTCTAAGGTCGAAATGTCAAAATGATAAATAATCGTATGACGGAAATAACACAGGCAAAAAGCAGGAAGGGCAGAGAAAGGAAATATGGTTATGTAAACAAGCACAAATAATACAAAATGTACAGGTAACAAAAAATTGAGAAAAAAAACCTTGTAGAGTAGTAGGGTTCGGTCACTATAAAAAAACTGAGACAGTTCTGATGCGACTGATATTGAAGTTCTAATCGCATCAATACCAAATAAAGCGAGCAAGCTACACTAGCAAAAATGTCATCATCCAATGAAACATCTATGTTGTAATCGAATTGCTAACAAAAGTTTAGCCACCAAAAGTTTTCTTACTCGTTTTTTTTGATTATACTAAGTCAAGAAATGATAGTCATATACTGATACATATATTGTTATTGAACTAATATACATCGGTTAATTTATTAGTTATACGTTTATTAGTTATTTTATTTTATATACATATAAAATAATAAAGATGAACATGATATTATCCTGTATGCATTTTGTGAGACAGTCCAAGCCGTCAAGTTCCGCGCACACTAACTACGTAACTCTTGCGAAAGGTCGTGATAAATTCATTCATTGTCAACTCATCTAGCGTCAAGGTGTGACAAATTAAAAAGTCGGTAGCCTTTCAATTTTACGCCGTCATTTGATTGTTCTTTTATTTGTACGTATTGATAAACTTATTGAAAATTTTGTTTATTATTTTTTTGATTTATTTATTTTTATTTTTATTTTTTGCCGTTGCTGTGTCTTTGTATTGGCTGTGCTTATCGATGGATGATTACAGAGGCTAGATGGCCGAGTCGTACATTTAATTCTTGTGGCTTACGTATTTAAAATTTCTGATGAAGATGGAAAGATAAAATAGGATCTTGCAAGGCACAAGTTTGGTCACAGGATAAGTAAATATACAATTTAATAAACACTATGACTCATTTCATTATTAAACTACTTAACATGCTAGCGGATACATTTTATTCGGTTATCAGATTGAAAAGCTCCGGATCCATTATGACTGTGCAACCTAATTTAATTACACAATGGTGAATACGTGATCCTCCTCAACATCCTCAGCTGTGTGATGACTGTCACTTGTGATAGTTAAACATCACGGGTTCTCGTAATTTTGTCTGTTAGAAATTTTCATATAAAGTTAGCATTATTTCTAGTGGCACGATTGAAATGATGGGCAGGTTTATGTGTGACACTGTGAAGTATATATTTGCAAAATTAATCTTAAGAGCTGAAACTTTGTCAGGATTGTTACTATAATTTGGTCCCTGTTGATATTTACTTATTTGGTTTCTCAACATCTCTCGAATCACGGCTGTAGGTATTACTAATCGGTAACTTTTGCCCGAACTTCCGCTTAAATTGATCTAGGAATAGAAAAGAGCTTCGATCATCAAAGTGCAGGTTCAACACCAATAATGCATTTTAGTAAAACCATTACTCTGCAGGTTGATATCAGCAATTCACTAATTGCGTATGAATTATGAGCTACTAAAAATAATGATTTTTCATATCGATATGGAAAATGTATATTAATTATTTCCGACGAGGTTTGGTGGATTGTCCACGATTTCTTATTGAATTTTAACGTTCAAATTTCAATCGTGCTATAGTGATGGGCAAATTATTAATGTAAAATCGTAAATCAATTGAATTACATGTTAGAGATTTGACTCGTTATGAAAATCATTGCCTTAGATATTATTAGATTATCCCTAACCCGGTAATTATTATTATATTTCGGGTTAATTTCTTCCGATCCAAATTCCCAAAATTAATGTTATAATGTATTAATAAAATTTTTCAATTACTCTTAACTGTTTTCAACTTACTTAATGTAAGTTATATAAATAAAAATTTTTTTAGCTTGTAGGGATAATTATAACGAATTGGAAATTTCAGTATGAGAACCGTGTAATATCGGGAGAATTTTGTATACTAGCATTAAGTCTACTGTAACTATATTATATCAGATATTTTAGTTAGTATTCACTATATCGGGTTCACTACGTATAATGAGAGTGACTTGTATCTTGCGATTTCGCTAAATCAGAGGATTCGAACAACAAAAATTGCTAGATCACGGGGTTTCTTGATTCAAATTTAGAAATTAAATTATAACGCAAATATCTCAGTCCCTTGTGTCAACAAAACTTCACTTTCACGCGACTGATATACTTGATTTTTCAAATTAACGTTAATGCATCTGTATCATGTGCATCCTCTTTATCACCAATAAAATGATGAGATTAAGTGTAACAGCCTTTTATAGATGCTAAAGCGGTTAAATAATTGTAACATATTTATATTGTACGTATGTGAATCAATAAACATTGAATTTTACCGTTACCCCATTTTTAGCGAATTTTTCTCATACGTAAAATGTTTTTTTTAGTAAAATCCGCGAATTATCATGTGACTATATAAATTGATTACTAATTAATTACAGCGAATCCTGCTTGTTTATGTTAATATTACAAGTGTAATATTGCACAAAGATAAATATTTAGCTATATATATTTTTTATTCAACAAATTTGTTTAAAAAAATCAATAATTTATTTTTTGTGGTTAAATAAGATTCTAATTTTGTTTTTATTAGTAATTTACAGTATATAAAATTTAGAAATATTTACTTTACTATAGCAAATTGCTACTATATTTTTACTATAAATAGATTTATAGTTAATGGATCGGATTTACCTGTACTAAATCTAGTACTTTGTACTAGTTTTCGTACTAATTTTAAATAATAATTGTGAGAGACCAACATGAGGTTGGTCCAACGTGAAGTCAATTAGTGTTTTTTATAATTATTAATCATTAGCAGACTTTAAATACTAATTGACCTTATGTTGAAACCAATCTCATGTTAGTCCCTCACAATTAATTATATTTTTTAAAAAATTTTATAAGTTCTTTAAATAGTTGGCAACTTGTATTGAATTATTTATAGCTTAAAAAAATTTATTTTAAAATTTTAATAATCTTTTGTATTCTATAAAAAATTTACTTAGTAAATTTTATATATAAAAAATTAGTAAAATTTCAACTATATATAAAAGTTGTAATAAATTATTACAATTTTAATAAAATTTTTTTTAAAAAAACAACTATTTTTTTTTTTATTTTTTTTTGAATCAATTTGGCAATTATGCTAATATTTTATTAGGCTTATAGCACTTATTTATCTATTTCATATCTATTTCATAAAAGTATGATTTAGAGCTATACAAACCTTGCTATACTGCCTGATCTAAATTACTAGTATCAACTAGCCTAGCTTTTTGTAACTGAAGTTCAAATTACTCATGTTCAATTTGCTATAGTAAACTTTTTCTTCATATTATTTTTTTTGCATCTAAAAAAACTAATATTTCACTAAAAGTTCTACTCATTATAATTGTCTTCTCTTTTCTTAATTCTAAATCTTTTTTTCCTAACTTTTTAAGTAAAAAAAAAACTTCTACTTACTATAAAAAAAAACTTTTTTTTAAAAAAAAAAAAAGGTTCAAAAGAGGGTAATACCTATCAAAGACTACAATAAAACAACAAAAAAATATAAATAAAAGAAAGAAAAAAAGATAAAAAAAAAAAAAAAAAAACAATCTATGATAAGTATACTGTTATAGCCAAAAATTTCTTATTAATTATATATTAACAACCCAAATAGCCCAGATTAATTTATACAAACTTATAGTAATTTATTTTTTAGAAGAACTTATTACAATTTATTAGATTTATTTTCTTCTTCTAAAAACATATATTTAAAAGCTTAATTTTTATCTTTCTTGTAAAAAGTTCTTAAATTCTTTATACAAATCCACTAATAAATATATAAAATAATAATAAATACTAAAATGATCTTTATTCTGAATTTCCTTTGTACAAAATCTGTTCTATCTATTACACTTTGCAGCCAGATATCTCTATAAAATTTACTATTAATTTTAATAGTTCTTGAAATTATTTTTACAGTATTAGTTATTTTCTTTATTATTGTCATATTGTATTTTTTATTTGTTATATATAATAAACCTCTTCTAGTAATTTAAGTTTAATTGTTAAATAATAACCTGATTTAGTTTAAGTGTTTTGTAATATCATATCACATATATAAGTGTTATAAATCCTAAATCTAGTTATCTATTAAAGCTAAATTAAATTAATATCTACAATTGCTTTTCCAATTAATAGTAATACTATTTTTAAATTTTTAGATTAGTAGAATTTGAAAATGGGTTTAATTATTAAAAATAACAGGCTAATATTAAGAAATTAAAAATATTTAATATATTTTTATAGCTATATAAAAATTTAAGTTAATTATTTAATATTGTAGAAATTGGTGAGCCTATTTGGGTTGAGTTTGAGCCAGGTCTAATTTTAATTTAAAGCCTACCCAGGCTTATCATTTGGGTAGTTTTTTTTAGATCAGGTT